CACGGCGACCTTGACGTTGGCCATGGCTCGGCTGACGGCCGGCAGCCCCGGCCCCGCATCCCGCGGGACGGGGAGGAGCGGGAGGAGCGGGAGGAGGAGCGGGAGGAGCGTGAGGGGGAGCGGGGCCGCCCCGCCGGGGAGGGCAGGGCAGGAGAGCCCGGCCCAGGCAGCCCCGTGAGGGGCGCACGGGAAGTTCCCCCGGCCGAGAGCAGGCGCCTGGGGAAAGGCTGCCCGGAGCTGCCGTGCGCAGCCTCTCCAGCATCCGAACCGCGCCTTTAGCCTGAGGTTTTAGCCTGAGCGAGGAGAGCGGCACCCCCGAAAAAGCCTGTTTGAACCTCTTCTACCCAAGAGATCAACGCCGCCAGCACGATGAAGGGTGCTGCCCTTAAAGCGCTCACTAGGGACCAGCCCTGTAATCCCTCCACATTCTTTTGACAGGAATTCAGGGAAGGCAAGTATCCCCTCCTTATTAGTGCTAAAGGAAAGGTCTCAAATGTTTTAGATTTCTTTGGAAACATCCAGTCTTCATGTGGCTCGTACTTAGGAGCTAAAAGAAAATTTTGAAACTTCCAAAGAACTTTAACTGAAATCAATATCTAGCTGTTGCACTGGTGGAAGTTTTGTACTTAAGAGTAATATAAAAATCACGGGAAGTATTTTAAAAATTTCTTTCAGAATACTGTCACTGTCAGTTACTGATGTCACAGGAAGATGCAAGAGCAAGTAGCATTGGCATAAAAAAGATGCCAGGCTCAATAGGCAGGTCCTATTTGATTTTGACAATTCCATTTGCCAATGCAAATTTTTAAATGGACTCCTGGTTTTGCATTTCAAAATATGATAAACTGAGCTATATTTAAATATCATATATGAGAGTTTAAGAATCCTATGTTGTTTTTATATTTAAACAACTTCTCTTTAACTTTTAACTGCTTTTAACTATAAAGTATAGTTATATTTTCATGAGACAGTTTGCCTTAAACTCCAGAAATGTTATAGCTAAATGAAAAAGGCACCATATTTCAGAACTTTTCCTAAGTGAAGAATGGGATAGATCCTTGGGACCCAATACTCCATTCACCACAGAGGTGCTAAAATGAATACCTACAAGCTGTGAATCATTGTATACTTCAATGGATTTATCCCTTGAAATCACACTAAAGAATTAATTGACACATCACAGGCAAATGGCAATTATCTAAACTCTACCAACTCCACAGTCAACTCTTCAAAAGTAGATACAGTAAAAGAAGAAAATATGCTCAACTCTTTGGGATATGGCAAGACCACGTATTTCAAAGAATTACAATGAACAAACTGACTAGAATGTTTCCATTGTGATCTAAAATGATTTAATTACAACAGTTTTAGTGCCTGGTCTAAATCATCACTGTAAGACAGAGTGAGAGTCTAAACCTAGAATAGATATAGAGGACTTTTACTCACAAAAATCACAGAATCAGTTAGGTTGGAAATGACTCATTGAGTCCAACCTATGATCACCTATTGTTCTGTTTTCTCCTGTGTCACAGAATGTGCAAAACATTTTCATTAAAAATGTCAGGTTCTCTGCAGTTGTGTGGAAAACCTTAATTTCCACTTCTGAAACAACAGTGGCATGAAACTTCAGACTCAAGTCCTGTAATGACATATAGCAAGTGTTGACACAAAGACCCCATTAATGCCTGTTGCATAAATGCTGTTTATATTCTTAGAGTCTACCTAGTGATATCCTGCTTAAACCTAATTAAAATTGTTTCTGTCCTCTTCTCGATGGGAGCAGAGAGGAACATCAGCTATAGCTTACACAGTACACTAGAGAACTGTTAAATTGGATGTCTTGTCATCACACTCTGCAGAATGGTTACAAAGATTAAAAAGAGATTCTCAGAAAATTTCAAATATAAAATACACCAAATACAAGTAAGTAATAATATAGTGGCCTCAACAAAACCAAAGATTTCTTCCTTAATTCTGCTTTATGTGCAATAGTCAGATAAACTTGTGAACTTTGTGGTACTGAGCCACCCAGTGGTTACTTTGAAAAAGCAAAATGCTCTTATTTCAGCAACAGAAATCAACAGGTTGGATTTTCACATAACAAATGATACAAGAGGAGAAAGGAATACATTTGCACCACTTCAGTCTACTCCATATCCTGAATATAAACCCTCCAAAGACAACCAACTACACTGGTTTATAGATGTCCTGCCAGTGACATTGCACCAACCTGTCTCCTCATGAGGGTTACAAACTGGGATAACCAATGCTTTTGATAAACTGTCAATCTTACTCATGGTACAAGAGTTTTATTCCGAGTGGGACACCAAAAACAGGGCAAGCAACAGAAAAAGAGAATCTGAAGAATATATTATCACTACCATTGAAGAATTTCCTGCTTTCCCACAAAACCACATCAGTCATAACAAACTGCAATTTAAAACTAATTTAATTTCTTGACTGCAACTCCTATGGAAGCATAAGCTTAGAAATAATACTTTGCTATATAATTTTAATTATAGGACTTTATAACAATATTAAAAGCAAGAAACAGAGCTTTTGAAATCTAATACTTTTATTAAAGTTTTACGGCAACATACAAAATACAGTGTTTTATCAAGAGGCTTACAAAAATTAATAAAGATACTATAGCAAGTGCAAAAAAAATATCAAAACAATTTTCCATTGAAGATACAGGCTCCAAGGGACTCTTATCCAACTATTTCAAAAAGGAACTTTTCAGTACTCTGTCTTACTATGAACTACTGCTCATTGTCCTTTTTTTTAATAAATAGTTGGAGAACTGTTAATTAATAACAGAAATATAACTACCTATGAAGTCTCTGTTGGATTAAAAGACATCTCTGTTGCAGTTTTCACAGAAGACCGTAGGAATGTAGTTCTTTGAGTAGTCCTCCTACTTGCAGAAAATTATTTGTTAGGCTAAAGATAAGCCAAAGTCCAAGTCAGCAGTATTGCATACACTGTTAGAATATACTTCCTTTTGCAGTTCTTCCCATTTCAGTATTTGCTCTGTCAGCTCCTCCAACTCTATCATGAGCACCTTTGTTTTTGACAAAGTGGTGTCCTGAAACAGAAAAGGGTTGGATTTAATCTCTATACATCCTGTCAGTCTATCAGGACATAGAAGTAACCTAAACAACCAAATTGCATTGCATTCTTCGTGCTGGAGAAGACAGCAGGTTCAGTTCTTTCACTACTCACCATATTGCTCATCATGTGTGGTACCTGAGGGATGCTTCTCACAGACTGCAAATGGCTTTCAAGCTTCTCAATGAAAGTCACAGCCTCAGCCAACAACTCTACTATACACCTGTAACCAAAAATGAGCTGAAAACTTGCGCTAAACAACAAGAATTTAATACTTTTAAGTTCTTTTTTCATTGTCCTACTTTTCTTAGTCCCCTTTTCCAGCTTTCTGCAAACTTCTAACCATCTTAATTAATTTTTCTGCAATTATACTTTTTGTATAACCTTTAGCAACAAGAAGGGCAGGAATTCCAGAAGTGAATAGCCACTCCTTCAGTACCTGGGCTAGATTTTTAGACTGTAAGAAGAAGGACTATACTTGTAAAACATGCACTATGCATGTCTGAGAATCATTCACATTTAATTCTAAGCAAACAACAGTGGAAGGAAGATACCCAGTGCTAAAGTAACAACTCCTGCATGGGAGAAGTATAACAAATCCAGCATGTAGCACATTTGTTTAAAACAATGCATCACAATTTGTTCTGTAGACTTCTAAAGACAAGACCAATAACCTAAGTAAATATTCATAAAATACGTGTCACTACCTTTTTATTAATTTATCAATGAGTAAACTACCAGCTTTTAGCTGAGGTTCTGCTACCATTTTTTATGTCTATTTTTATCAGTGGAAAAATTATTGGGAACATATGATTTTTATTGTTTGTTAGTTCAAATTAATTTGGACTTAAGAAAACCAGAAGAAATATTTTCTTTGTGCCTACCTGTGAAAAGTAGCCTCAATAGGCAGGCTTTCTTCACATCTGTGTTTGATCAACCTCTTTCTGAGGTCCCTCTTCTCTTTCAGAATGGCTTCCAAGTGCCTGTTCATGTCTTGCAAAATCTCGCATTTTTTCCCTATAAAATAAAATTGCAATGTTGAACCTAATCTTTTGCTAAAACAAAAGCAAAATTTCTCCTGAAGACAGAAAAAAAATACTGATCTACTGCAGTGGACAGTTACATTCAAGAGACATTAATCAGAATGGCTTTTGTTGGAGCATGTATGATTTAGTATCAACATGCACTCAAAGTCACAATACCTACTTTTCAGAGATAGATATAATTGTTTTACATTATCTGTAATTTTAAGTAAATTCTCTATGGGATGAAGTCAACTATACCATAGCAATGAAATATCACAACAGATTTCACTAGTCTAGCACAAGAGTAGCAAACTAGAAAGTTTTTAAGTACACATAAAATCAGAGTGGACAAAATGTGCAATTACAATAAATCAATGCACGTGCTCCCTAAGTGCAAAATTAAAAATGTAATAAGTTTAGGGGGATAGAGATGCAACAGAAATACACTGAGTTTCTGGAAAAGAAGCAGAATAGCACATGCAGGCCAATGGTTGCTGATGATCTCAGAACTGATGATCCACTGACCCTGGGGAGCTGACCACACCTCCCACACTGTTTTAGAGAATGAGTTATGCATGCAGCTTCTATGAGACAGTAGAGAGTGCAAGTTCAAATAGTATGGAAACATGCTTTAGGTGTTAATAAAACACCTACCACCTCCAACAAGTTATTCAGAGATGACTGCTGCAATAACTTCTAGAAGGGTTATGTACTCATTTGAAACATTAATCTGCATCTAACTTAACACTTCATTTTTCTACAGTACAACTGCACTTACCTAAGTAAAAAGGGTGAGTAATGTCTGCTGTCTCATTCTCCAACTGCATCATTTCTATTTTCAATTTTATCTACAACGATAATAACATCAAATGAAAATGCATTTTTAACATACTTATCCAGACATTGTTGACTGTCTTGGGGTGGAGAAGGAAGTGGAAAGGGAGAAAGCGGCAGCATAGGGAGAACATGTGTGTGAAAGAGAGCAAGCATTAGCTCAAGAACATGTTACACTGCTCCCTGGAGAGTTTCTACTACTTGGTGGGGATTTTGTGGTCAATAAGAAAAAGACTGTTTAAAAACACCAACCTAAATGATTTGGAGATTTGTGCTGGAAAAGACAGATCTTGCAATTCATTCCTAAACCACAGAACTTATGACAGAATGGCTTGGGTTGAAAGGGCCCTTAAAAATCATCTAGTTACAAGCCCCTGCCAATAGGCAGGGATATCACCCATTAGACCAGGTAGCTCAGAGCCTCTCTAACGTAGCCCTGAACACCTTCAGGGATGGGGCATCCACAACTTCTCTAGGCAACCTGTTCCAGTGTTTCACCACCCTCACAGTAAAGAATTTTTTCCTAATGTTTAATCTAATCTAATCTAATCTAATCTAATCTAATCTAATCTAATCTAATCTAATCTAATCTCTTTTCTTTTACTTTAAAACCATTCCCCCTTGTCCCAGCATTATCTGCTTGTGGAAAAAGTCACTCTCCCTCTTTTCTTAAACCCTCTTTAAGTACTGGATGGCTGCTGAACAATCCCTGCTCTCTGAGTCTGTTTTTGTAGGAGAGGTGTTCCAGCCCTTGGACCATCTTCATGGCCCTCCTCAGGAACTGCTTCAAGAAGGTTCACTTCTTTCCTGTCCTGAGGATTCCAGACCTGGACACAGCACTCCAGGTGGGGTCTCACAAGGTCAGAAGACAAGAATCCCCTTCCTGGCCCTGTTGGCCACACTACTTTTGATGCAGCCCAGGATGTGGTTGGTTTTCTGGGCTGTGACTGCACATGGCCACGTCATGTCCAACTTTTCACCCACAAGAAACCCCAAGTCTTTCTCCACAGTGCTGCTCCCAAGGCGTTCATCTCCCAGTTTGTACTCACATCTGGGATTGCCCTGACCCAGGTGCAGGACCCCACATTTGGTCTTGAGCCTCATGAGGTTCTTGTGAGCCTATTTACTTCTCACACTTGCCCACTTCCTCTGAATGACATCCCAACCTTCTGCTGTGTCCAGTGCTCTTCTCCTGCCAATTCCTTAATCACCGAATAGTCTACCCTTAAAACCCATGTCCCTCCTATTTACATCTCTTACAAAGCAGTTTCATAGTCTATTTAGTGTCTAAACCAACATTGTAAAATAAAAGGCAACAGCCAATTAAGGCAGTATGAAATGTCTGAGGTTACCACCCGCTAACCAACAATATTGCCTATAAAGAGACACTTTTTTGTGTCCTGAAGTCAACTACAAGTTGTTTTTTATTGTTCAGTTTCTTCAAAAAACTTCAGGTAACACTTTAGTCAAAGGTGCAGCCTGCTGAATCCTTCTACTTAAACTTTTGTTTCATAGTTTTGTTTTCTTTATGACAACTCGGATCACCGGGGAAAAAAAGTGCCACCCATCAAACAGCTGAATTGTTAACAAAATCCTCAAAACTTGAAACAACACGGCATGTGGCAGTCTGGTATTTCATTAGGGTCCTGTATTATCTCCAGGTATCGAAGTGTTGAGTGTACACTGACTATAGTAAAGGCTGTACCTCATTGATTTCGGCTTCCATGTTCACCATTTTTTCCATCTCTGAGAATTTCGGAAAACATGACATTCTTCTGCAAGTTAAATCCAAGGTCTCCTTTGAAAGTAAAACAACAGGAAAAACGCAATCAGCAGCACGAACGTACCAAGCAAATGCTCCATAAAAGCTTTTAACAGTCCAGAGCTGTTCCTCTCCCGCGCTCTGCAACGCAGCGCCCCTCACGAGAGCAGCGAGAACCGCGCGGCGCTGTCCCGGCTCTGCCCGGCCGGTACCGGCCGCACGGCTCCCGTCTCTGCCCGGCCGGTACCGGCCGCACGGCTCCCGTC